CCCGCTGCTCCCCTCAGCAGTGTACTTCATCGATCTGCCTGTTCTGCTCCCCACTCTGTCTCTGGTGAAGCCTCTCACCGCCCCTTTGCCTCTGGCGTGTACCCCAGTTCTGTATGCACAAATAAATAAATCTTAAAAAAAAAACTCAATCTCGTCATTGTAAATGACTGGTGATGATTGTCTTGAAGGTAAATGAGTCTAAATTACTTTTAAATATAATTTAGTAAATCCAACGGGCCCATTTCCCAGGTGAGAACACTGAGGTTGGAAAGAAAGCATGTCTAAATAACAATCATGAATGAGTGAGTTACAGAACCGTATAGAAATCTGCTGGTATACATCTCTGTTCATCAGACCAAACATTAAAAGAGTTACATAATTGTAAGTCTTTAATGATCTGCTAAAGTACTTGGAAGGTCATAACTACTGTAACTCAGTATCTAGATCTGCAAAATGGGTTTATCATCTCATAGCACCTGCCTTATAGGAGATTCTGTCCATGGAGGGCTAGACCCGCTCGTGTCACACAGTGACAGGTATGTCACAAGGATCATCATGATAGTTGTTGGAAACTCAGCAAACCTTATTGTGCAATTCCACAATTCCAGGAATTGTGAAGTTCTCTGGAATCAAGCGGCAATAAATCTAGTTAGAGCACTAACCTACAACTCTTACACAACTCCAGACACAAACTGTTTTCATGGCTTCATTAATAAACCCAAATCTAATGACCTGAGCACCTTTGAGCTGGGCATTGGGCCTTGCTTCTTATCCACAATAGAAGTGGCTATGGACACTATCTGTCCAAATACTGCACACAGCAAAGAGTTGGTTTCAGCTGATGAGCGAACAATCAGGTCTTGTGTTTTGTATGGTAAGACATTGGAAAGATGGGACCACACGTGTGGGAAGGGGAAGAAAGGTGTGAGGCCTGAGGAAACTCATCCAGTGTGCACAGTGAAGGGCTTTACAACAGCTAAAATGAAAAGCAGGACTCCCAAGAACTTGGGGCTACAACTGAGAGGAGAAATCAAACACTGCCCAAAAATGAACAATATCAGAAAAAAAAACATATATATATATATATATATATATATATATATACATATACATATAGAAGCAGAACTACAGTAAATAGGAAAGTATATGAAATGCTGACTGCCCCTTATGGGAGAATAAAGCAGACCCAGAGTCCTGGTTCTACGTTTAGCTCTATGCTGAGATGTGAGTGGCATAAGTTTTCTATAGCCCAGTTTTCCAACCTGTGAAACTGGGTTTAGAACTTTCTCTTTCTCTCTTTCTTTGAACAGAATATTAATTAGATTTTAAAAATATGTTTTATTTTTTTACGTCATTCTTCATTTTGTGCAATTTTCATCTCAGTTGTAATCCTCATAGGCTTCCCACCACCAATTCGCCCATGTCCCATCACCACAGTCTAGTGCACTCTTAACAACCCACTTCTGATCCCATTCCCCCTTCCACTCCCCAAAAATGTCTCTTTTATAGTTGTTCATTGTTTTCATTTTTGCTCTATTTCATTTATTTCTCTTACAGCCCCACCCCCCATCCCTTACACTCCTGCTATGAGTGAATCCATTGGTAATTCTTTTCTTTCTGGATGATTTCACTAAGCACGATCCCTTCCAGCTCCTTCCATGTTGATGCAAAAGGCATGAGTTTACTTTTTGATTGCTGAGTAATAGTCCATTGTGTATACGTACCACATCTTTTTAACCCAATCATCTACATTTGGGCATATGGGTTGATTCCACATCTTCCCTATTGCAAATAAAGGAGCAATAACATGGGGTGCAGGTGCCTTTTGAATGGATGTTTTGTGTCTTTTGGGTAGATATTAGGGGTGGGATTGCTGGGTCACATGGAAGCTCTATTTTTAATCCTTTGAGAAACATCCACACAGTTTTCCATAATGGTTGTATCAGCTCGCATTCCCACCATCAGTGCAGGAGATCAAACTCCTGCTGCAGTGTCTGCCAATATCATGATATCACTGAGCCTTAAGCAGTTGTACCACCAGGGAGGCCCAATTTATCCCATGTCTTTAGCCAACCTTAGACACCTTCTCCCCTAATGGTCTAGTATAATTAAAAAGTTTGCTTAGGTCAAGTGAGTGAAAGACACTCATATCCACCAAACTAGAAACAAGACCCAAGGATAGAGATTCATTCAACCTATCCTTCTGTTTCTCCCCTGTCCCCCCAACCTGGGGAGCATTTCCCTTCTCAGAATTAATGCAAATGAGTGGAGAGAGGCTGGTTTGGACAGAGGACATTCAGGACACTCATATTTTACTTTCAGTCGCACCACTGTCATGGTGTGGACTGCCTGGCACTCACTGTGTCCCTGTCCTTGGGATGTGATTGCTGGCAGCCTGCTTCTCTGCAGGGTGATAAGAAAGAGTTTATTGAAGTCTTGTTGGTTTCCATCATTGTTTATATTTGGGGAACTGTAGGATTGTCCCTCCAGGCATGATTACTATATGCACCCCCTTGCAAACCACCCACAATCCACACCACCATAGTCCTTTGTGTCTCTCCCCACCCTGTCCTCTCTCTCACCCCCCCCCCCCGCTAGGGTCAACTTTCATGGGTTAGTTTTTAACTTTGCCTTTATTTGGCCTTGTCTGGTTTCTCTATATTCCACCTACGAGTCAACTATCATTATTTGTTTTTCTCCTTCCAAATTATTCCTTCCAGTTCCATTCCTGTGCCAAAAATTGGATGAGATTTTCTCTTTTGATCACTGATAATATTCTTTGTGGCTATATATCACATCTTGTTAATTTGCTCATCTATTTCTATGCTTAGGTTGTTTTCATAACTGGGCTTTTATTAAAATCAGTGACACCATAGTATTGAAAGTTATTTGCACATTATAGTGTTGTCATATGTACTGACCTTGTAAATGTCTTTATGGAGAATAAGAATGTTCCATGGGATGATTAGGATTTTTTCTCAGTCCTCTATTAGATACTGCTCTGATTTGCAGTATAAATTTATGTAATTACGTGGAAATGCGGGCAATGCTCCACAGGCTTCCCAAATGCAAACAAGCAGGTCACCAACCCCAGTGTTGTAATGCTTGGAGAGCCCAGCAGAGTCATTTGTCCTAATGGAATAGGGCAAACTGTGTGAGAGAGCAGGGAGCCAACCAGGGCCCCAGAGTGTGGAAGCAGAGGAAATAAGAGGCTGGAGGCCATTAAAATCTGCATCTACAGTGGCTCACAATTGTTGGGAAAAGATCTCACAGTATCTAGGAGGAGAAGGTTAAATCATGAGATTAATTACCATCCTTTTCCTCTGCTCCAGGCTGCTATCAAGTTTAAGCCAGCAGCCCTCACAGGAAATTGACTGCAATGATCACGATGTACTTATGGCTGTAGATGCTGCTCTGAAGAACGTTAACAATGGAAACCAAACAAACAACCTCTTTGTATTGTACCGTGTTGGTAACATCACCAAATTGGTGAGTATGCTGTGAAACCTGACAGCCTTTGGAATTTGCTTTTACTTGAAGCCAAGGCACCTTTTCCTTTTCACTTCACACACACACACACGCACACACACACAGCAGCAGCAGCAAGAACAGAAAGAACTGATAACTGGAAAGTCCTCCCAGGTGATAAGAGAAGTAGGTAAGAGAATGAAACAAAAGTAGATTCAGTCCTTGGAAGGGCGATGGAGATGGGAGAACACAGGCGCTCCAGTCAGGCTGCAGCAAGGGGCTTTCCTGGATGACGGTCCAGAATGAGTTACAAAGGCCTCGGTAGCTAAGGTGCAGAGTGGTGCTTGATGTGGGATCCTACAACTAAATAAGAGCTTACTTATACTGGATTGTGAAAAAGTCAAATTCACAGTTGCAGAATATGGAATGGTGTATGCTGGGTAGTCGGGGGAGTGGAGAGAGTTTGGTCGAAGTTTATAAATTTTCAGTTGTAAGATGAGTAACTTCTAAGATCTGTGTGTATTAGGATGATTGCAGTTATAATACTGTATTTTATATTTAATTTGCTTAAGAAGTGATATTGAATGTTTTCATCATAGAAAAAGGAATAGATGTATTAATTAGCTTGTGCATGGTAATCATTTCATAATGTATCCATATATCAAAATATGTTGTAAATCTTATATATAATCTTTTTGACAGTTATACATTAATAAAAGGACAGGGGAGATGGAGTTATGTTCTAAGCCATTAGTACCTACCCTGAAGAGACTGACTTGAATGTATCAAGAGTAACAGCCTTATTCTGAGCGCTTTTTAATCTTTTTTTAATCACCAATTGACATCTGCAGGTTGGTGACAAACTCTGACAATATATTTGATTCAGAAATATTGTGGGGGAGATTCTGGTGTAGGCAGAAGGCAGGAGAGTGAAAGACCTCACCAGAGACAAGCAGAAAACAGTGGGTTTATTGAACTACAGTGCTAAGAAAAGCCAGGAGGGGTCTGCTGTGTGGAGTGAGGACCTGTGGGTGTATTTATACTCCTGGCATTATTGACTGGTTAGGGTGACTAGATTTGGGAGTGTCCTGGCTGATGATCTGAATTAGGAAGAGGATCATCAGCTCTTTGGTCATCAGCTTAATGTCCAGGTTCTCGTGGCAATTTTATGTTTATTTTCATTTAAGCATCCCATACTTGCCTGCTGGGCAAATGGGGACTTGGGTTTTAAATTTAGCAACTATACTCTACAGTGACAAAAAATACAAATCTCTCAATAGTTAGTTTAAACAATTTCACTGTAAATCACTATGTCTCTGTGAGAGCTGTTCAGTTGTTTACTTTGGTGAAAAATGAAAGCTGCCATTTGACAGGAGGGTTAAGACAAAAACCCAGGTGGACAGTTTTTCTGAAAGTGAAAGGGAGCCACTGGTTCCGCAATCTAGGTCATCAGGTAGCAGTTCTGCTTCCGGTCTGTCCAACAGTTGGCGGCGTCTTCCTTGCCTGACTTCATGGCTGATGTCAACCTTCATTCTAAGATACCTGTGGAGTCACTGCTGAGCTCTCCTTTCCCGTATGGCCACAGCCCCACTGCTACCACCTACCGTTTTATTAAAGCTGAGGCCTGGAATGGGCCCCAGGACTCCATCCCCTCCAGGGGCCCAAAACCTCTGAGAGAGAACCCCCAACCCCCACTCGGGGTCAGGAGCCTGGGACCCTCGGCCTCTGCCTCTCCAAGTGGCCGGGCTGTGTCCTCTTCCCTCAAGTGAAGCCACCTGGTCTCACCTGCAGAGTGGGGGCTGGACAACACCACCTCACAGTCCCTCAGGCCAGGGTTTTACATGGGAAAGCTCATCTAATTTACTGCCTTGAGCTTTAAAATCTTATTTACTGTTATGATATGATCCACCTATTGACAGTGAACACAAAATGCAAATAAACATACTAAACTCACCTGTAATTCATCCTACTACCCAGAAATAACTGTTATCATTTTTCTCAAAAGTGAAAAATCACCCTTTATTTTTTTGTTATCTAATTATAAAATGAATTTTGTTTAAAAAAAAACCAGATTGCTTGTTTGTTCAAAGAAGGAATGTTTTTTCAACAAAGAATATGAAAGACATTTTCAACCCCCAGAGACATTTTGAACCCCGTTGATGCACAACATTTCAGATATTTTAAATCATATATCTACATATAAGGTGATTTCTACAAAAATGACCTACTGCTGTGGATACTAGTTTGTAACTTAAAAATAAACATATTTACCTGGCAAATCATTATTCTGTTTATTGAATGAATACTGTGACATAACTACATGCATATATACATACCTACGTACATGTAAATACATTATAAACATTTGTCCAAGTAAATATTTGAAACTTTGGCCTTTGAAATAAATGTTGGCTCCAACTGAATCAAACGAGTATCAAATATTCATAACCACGCCAGACCACACTCAAATGATTTGCTGTGCATCGCTAGGGTGAAACTTAAGTATCCCTGTTTGTCTTTTCTCAGGATGGCATAGATCCACTTTATTTCTTGAAGTACCAAATCAAGGAGGGTGATTGTCCTGTTCAAAGTGGCAAGACCTGGCAGGACTGTGCCTACAAGCAATCCGCAGATGCTGTAAGTGTGTTGCCTTTTCCAAGCCTCCAGTTTTCTGCGTCCAGCCTGCCAGAAGTCTCTTCTGGTGCTGGGGATGAAACGATTGTGAGTCTGAGGTTGCCTCTGAACCGTCAAATGTACAGAAAGGTCCCATGATTGATGTCTGAGTCGTCCAGAGACATAGAGCATGGAGGGGCGGGTGATTCCCCCAGGTCTCTTGAATATCGATGGTTGGTAAAAACTAGTCATTCAGTTATATAAGAATATATTCTTTTACCTCGGATTTCTGATAGAAAAAACTTTGACAACCATTTTTTTAAAGATGAAATCGTATCTAATCCTGGCACTAGGTGGACTTCTCCATCTAAAAGGGTAAGATAAATGGTGTCTTTCTAAAAATTTTTTAGGCTACTGGGGAATGTACAGCCACCGTGGAGAAAGAAAAAAAGAGGATATTCACCGTAGCTACCCAGACCTGCCACATCACTCCAGGTAGAGGATATATCTGTGGGGCTGCTCAGGGAGAATCAACCATTTCTGCCAGGCTGAAGTGCTCTCCCGCGTAGAGCGCCCCCTGCAGGCAGAGCAGTGCCAGCTGCAGCCTCAGGGGAGCGCGTAAGTGCAGCCCCAGAGCCTGACCTGGGGGCCAGGGGCCCAGTCCGGACCCCGCCTCTTCCTGAAGCGGAAGAGGTGTAGAGATGTGCAGTGGGTCTGGACGGGATGTCCTGCCTTCATTCACGCCCTCCCAGAGTGTAAAACCCAGAGGCCTCGAGGTCAGACCTGACCTGCAATTGTAAAAAGTTCTTTAGCTTCCTGGCTTTCCTTTTCTTTGTGTATTCAATACAAAAGGAGACAACAGTAAGACAGCTGCCAAGGATGCTAATTTATTTTTTTTCTTACAGCATCATTAATTTTTGTAGAGTTTGGTTTATCCCCTCAGCTGTAGTCCTTGTAGCTCTCAAACCACAATAGCACCTGAGAATCATCACTGTAATCCCTTGTGCTCTTCCCTCCCGTTTTTCCCCCTCCCCTGCTCTAGCTCTCAGATCTATGGTCTGCTTGCAAGGTTTGTCTTTTTCCTGACCCTTTCTTTGGTTTCTCTATATTCTACCTATAAGGAAAACCATCTGATATTTACCTGTTTCGTTCTGACATTTCCCTTAGTATAATCCCTTTCAGCTTCAACTATGTTGCTGCAAAAGACTTGAATATAGCTTTTTTGATCAGAGTGGTATTCCATTGTGTGTGTGTGTGTGTGTGTGTGTGTGTGTGTGTGTCTCCTCCTGTCTTGACCCAAGCAAGTATTTTGGGACATTTAGGCTGTTTCAACATCTTGGGTATGAAAACAGTGCTGCAATAAGCATAGAAGTGCAGGTTTCCCTATGAATTAGTTGCTGTGTGTCCTTTGTTTAGGTTCTAGGAGAGGAACCACTGGGTCATGTGGTAGCTCCATTGTGAGGGTCCTGAGGAGCCTCATACTGCGTTCACATCAGCACTGTCGGAGGGTCTATTTTTTACCAATGCTTACAGTATTGGATATTTTTGGTTTTGTTTTGTCTTTAAATATGGGCCTTTCTCACAAGTGTGATGGTATCTCATTGTGGTTTTGATGGTGATTAAGTAAGTGCACTGAACATTTCTTATGCCTTTTGGCCTTTGCATTTCTTCTTTGAGAAGTGTCTCTTTAGGTCTTCTGGGCGTTTTTGGATTAGATTGTTTGCTTTGCTTTTTTTTGAGTTGTGTGAACTCTTGTAGATTTTTGATATCAGTCCCTTTCATCAGTTGTATGAAGTGCAAATATATCCTCCCATTCAGCACAGTGTCTGTTCACTTGGCTGCTGTCTCTCTTGCTGCACAGAATCTTTTCAGTTTGATGTAGTTCCAGCTGTTTATCTTCTTTGTTTTTCTTACTTGTGGAGAACGATCCTCAAAGGTATTCCTGAAATTTATGTCTTAGAGTGTTTTTGCCTAAGTTTTCTACTATATATTTTATGGTTTCAGTTCTTCCATGCACCTTTTACCCATTTTGAGTTGGTTTTTCTGTATGGTATGAATAAGTAGTCTAGATTCATCCTTTTGCAGGCGGGAGCTCAATTTTTCCAGCACTCTTTATTGAAGAGAATTTCTTTGTTCCTCTTACTTAGATTAGTTGACCATTTTCCATTTCTTCTTTATTCAGCCCTGAGTGATGTATAATTGTAAGAATTTGTCTGTTTCATCTAGACTGCTGAACCTGTTTGCAAGGACCCCATGTGGGGACTTGGGTAGCCCTTTCCCATCTATGCTGTGTGTCCCTGCAGACCACCAGGGTAGGAAGTCCTGAGAGGATTACTCATTTAATACAAACCTGTCCCTTTCTAGTATTTTGCATCATTTTATTAAAAACCCTTAGTGTCTCCCCATTCCCACAGCGGACTTTTCAAAATTCACTTCGGGGATTGCAAATTCCCTGAAGTTATGTGGAGAATGCTGCATGTGCATGTGCCTGGGGAGGATGACATGACTTCCATGAGGTTCACCAAGGAGTTTATGAGCCCTGGAGAACAGACATGCATGCCTTAGCCTTGTCTTGGTCAGCAACGAGAAGGATAGCAAAAATGACAGTGGCCCAACAGGTCTTGTATATAACCTAGGTATGTAATATGCTAAACCATCGAGGTGTGTGTAAGTACACGCTATGACATTCATGTAATGATGACATGGCCTAGCAAAGCATTTGTTGAACCACACACACAACCAGTGTGCCGCCCCGTGCTCAGCAACCAAGGACACTCCCAACTGCCCAGACTGCAAGTCACACTCCCTGCCTCCACTTTAAGCTCAGGTAAAATGTGTGGACCCCACATCCTACACTGCCACCCCTGGTCATCCCGCTTTCTCAGGAGCCATCTGCTCTACCCTCAGGCTTTGAGCCTCGGGTTGACCAGCTGATCGTCTTCACTCAT